TGCAAGGGCAGGCATAGTGGATAATATAAGGGTTCTGAAAAGTGGGAGAGGATGGGTTCTAAGCAAAGGTAGAAGAATTGACCTCAGAAAGGGAAAAGGATATCTCTAGTGAAGTGAGAGGGAGAGAGGCTAGCATAGGAGTATGTAAAAGGTAACAAGTTTGAGTTTGGGAAGCTGAGAGAATTCACGTCTTGTGGCTTCTATTTTCCAAGAGTAACAGGCTAAGATTTCTGCTGACTACGAAGAGGAAGGCAAGAAGTGTGGTGGGAAGTTTCAGAAATGTGAAATTTATTTAAAGTGGTTGCCAAGAGGAAATTGACCAGGAAAATGCAGTAAGATTTCTAAATAGTGTTGAAGGCTAACTCGAAATCAGTGATTATAAATCTAGGGGGGAACCAATCTTTCCTCTATTGGGATGTTTTCCAACAACCCTGGGCCGCTTGGATGTGAGTAAAAGAAGAGGAGATTTCTGAGTTCATTCAGGTTTGGCATTTTGCAGGTGGGTGAGAAGAAAAGATAAAGGACCAGAGAGTTGAAGATACTGATGAGAGTGTTATTGAAATAATAAAGCTTGAAATCTATAATTGAAATTGAAATCCAAAATTCAGTATTAAAAATATATATGCAAAAGTTGATGGAATAGATTAAACAAAACTGACAAAATTTTGACAACAGTTGAAGGTGAGGGATGATTGCATAAGGTTTCACTATATTGGAAGAGAAGAACTTTGAAAAAAACAGGAGCAAAGGAGCAAAGAAAATTTACAAAAAGTTCTAATTAATATTTCCAGAACTCTATGAGATGATCTTACATTGATGAAATAAGCATGGGTACCAGAAAGAAAAAAACAAAGGGTCTGTTAGGATGTCCAATATATGAACAACACAAGTCTCAAAAAGGAGAACAGAGAATGTGGATGGGGAGGTAAACAACAAAGAAATAATTTAACAAAATTTCCCGGAATGAAAGGACATAAGTGGAAAAGCCAAAAGATCATGAAGCACAATAAATGAAGACTCACACAAAGGCACATCTCTGGAAATTTTGATACACTGAAAACAAAGAAAAGATCATTGATCCAACCATCTTTTCTCAGTCCCTTACACTCCTCACATCCTCTCTTTTCTTCTTCAGCTTAAACTCAATGGTTAATAATTCTAATCAATTCCTTGGATAGAATATCCACATCTTTGCCCCTCATGCTTTCTCATCTGAGTGAAGTCATAACCTTGGTTAAATTAAATTTTCCTTCCACTCCATTTCTGCAGCTGTGCAGCTGAAAATAAAGATGGGAAAACAAACAGTCATGTTGACTGGTGTCATTTCAAATTCATGATCATTAGCTTCAAGTGGACCCTTATGGCTGCCCGGCAATCAGACGATATTGACTTTGTGCATTCACTTTCCCTCTTTCCTAGAATTATTTCTTACTTGAGTCTCTCTCCTCCATCCTCCAACACCTCCTGCCCCATCCATTCTCAGCTGTTGCCCTTGTTTTCTATGTTGCTGAGGAAACTGTAAGGACAATTCCCACATGCCCTACCCTCCACACTTACCTACCCTCCTACATCTGTGCCCGCCTATTCTGCATTCTCTCTTGTCCCTGGGGATGAACTAGCCACGCTCCCCCTAAAGCCATCCCTTTTGCTTGAGCATTAGATCCAACTCATCTTAGGAATGTTGTTCCAGTCATTCTCCATTCTCCACCCTGCTTTCAAGCTTCCTCTTTAGAATGTAGTATTCCCAACAACACACAAACTACAGTTATTTCTCACATATTTAAAAAGAAACTACTTGGACCCCACACCCTCCTCTAGTTACCAGCCCATTGGTCTCCTTCCCTTTGTAATAAAACTCTTTGAAAAAGTTGTCTCTACTCACTGTCTCCAAATTATTTTCTCACATGCTCACTTAAAACCAATAGGCACCCACAACATGCCACCAAGATCATTAATTAATAATTGCTTCCATGTTGCTAAATACAATGGTCAGTTCTCATTTTACTTGCCTCAGAAATATCTGATACGGTTGATCACTCCTTCTTCCTTGGTATATACTTTCCTCATTTGTCTTCTAGAACATCACACTCTCCTAGTTGTAGTTCTACTCCATTGACCATTTATGAGTATCTCTTGCTGGTTTCTTCTCATCACTCTGACCTCTAAATGTTGGAGGGCTACAAATCTCAAGGCCCTTGGATCTCTTTGCTTTTCTAGCTACTCTTACTCCCTAGGTTATCTCAACTGCCATCCTGACTTTGAATTTACCTATCATTGACCATCCAGAATTTTTATCTCCAGCCCTGAACTCCGTACCAATATATCCAACTGCCTTCTTAATTTATTTGCTTAAACTCCAAAGTTGCTCTAATTTAGCACATCTAAAATTAAGCTCTTAATCTTCCAAACTGTTTCACTTCCTATTTTTCTCATGCCTGTTAATGACAAACCCATACTTTTCAGCTGCACAGGCCAATAGACACATATACTTCATACATGAACATAGCCCGTAGGCTCTGCTTTCCAGAAGACTAGAATTCAATTATTTCTTACCATGTCCATGCCACTACTCTGCTCCAAGTCACCAATATCTCTTGTCTCCTTACTCTCTTGCCTAGATTGTTAAAATAGCTTCCTAAATGGCCTCCCTGGCTCTGCCCTTGTCTCTTTTCAGTCTATTCTCTAAATAGCAGCCTATAATATTACTACAAAAGTCAGATCATGTCACTCTTTCTCCCCAAATTCTCCAGTGACTTTCCATCTCAATCAGAATAAAAGTGAAATCGTAACTATGACCTTCAAGATCCTTCACAATTTAGTCCCTTCATTTCTCTTAACTCAGTTCCTACCATTCTTCCACTCAATGACTCTCCTTCAGCCACATTGGCCTCCTTGCTGTCCCTCCAGCAAGCCAGGCACTGTTCTGCTGTATAAGTAAGCGTTTGACCAGAGGAGCAGAACCACTAGGAGTGATATAGAATATGAAATTTAATTTAGGGATTTGACCTTATGCAGTTGAGGTACCTGACTACAGTTTAGAAATGGTTGTTGCTTCTGGTTGTAGTTCTGAAGTCAACAAAGCAGGAAGTTGGGAAGAAAAGACAAATATAAAGTGGGGAAGAATAAGTACAATATGGTATCCTTGAGGAGGATCTGGAACTATGATGAACTGGAACCCGCTCATCTCTCTCCAGAAACTGAGCTCTCGCTCACCACCTCTACATTTCAGCTTCAATAGTGTAGGTGACCTGCAGAAGCCAGTGCGCTTTCTCCTGGAGCTAAACATACACCCGGCCCAGGAGTCAGAGAAACTGAAGGAGGACATCCAGCAGGAGTTGGAAAAGCTTAGGTCCTGGTTGTTGTCCCGTGCCAACAAAGGTGAGCCAATAGATCTGTGACAATTACATGAGCTGCAATAGCATCTCACCCCACAACAACTTTCTGAGCATAAAAATGGCTGCTGCTTCACTTCCACCCTCCTGAACTTGGGCAAATTTCTCTTGTGGCCAACCCTAGCCAAGAACCACAAATGGAAGCTATTTGAAATGAGCTTAGTGTAGTTATTTTTTGAGTGAACATCCTCTGCCAATCCTCCTCTTTTTGCTGAGGAAGATTTGCCCTGGGCTAATATCTGTGCCCATCTTTCTCTATTTTATATGTGCGATGCCTGCCACAGCATGGCTTGATAAGCAGTGCATACGTCTGCACCTGGGATCCAAACCAGCCAATCCCCGGGCACTGAAGTGGAGCATGGGAACTTAACCACTATGCCACGGGCCGGCCCCTGTAATTTTATTTCTATATTATTCTATAATGTACCTGTTGACATATAAAATGACACATGCAGCATTATTTATGACAGTAAAAGATTATTAAAACAAACAAATAAAAACAAAAAAAAATTGCTTGAATGAAACTAGGGTACATCATTATGGAAACTATGTAACTTTCTCAAGATGGCTTTATAGTAATAAAACCATTTCAAAAAAGAATATTGATATGAGAGAATTCCAGGATATAATGTTCTGTTAAAAAATAAAGATAGTGAAAAGCTTATGTAGTATATTACCTTTTATGGGGGCCACACATACACACACTTACAGAAACACACACAGGACAGGTAAACCAAAAGCTAAATTTTTTAAATGGTATTTATTGGGGAGTATGGAAAAAGAGTAACATTTTCCTGAATATTCTTTGGTTCAAAGTTTTAAATTTAGGACCATGCTTTATTTTAAAGTTTTAGCTGACAAATCATATAAACGTTTTGTATATTCAAAAATAAAACTTAAATTTTAAAATAATTCCTAAAATAGAAAGTAGCTGAAACAAATAAATCTAACCATATATCAAATCAGTCATACAACCAACATAGAAAAGCATTATTTCAAGTGATTTTAGAACTCAGTAGTTGTACGTGCTAAGTGGGATATATTCTAAGAACAAGGGAGAACCGCAAGAAAATCTCAAATTCTATTTGTGAAGTTCACTATTAGTGGCAATGCTGATGTTATTAGTTTGAAATCACTTAATGCATATTATAACATAACTATGTTTATATTGCTAGAAACCATGATGTTCAGTATAAATATAAAGTCAAATAAGTTAATAATTGTAAATTGAATTGAAGTATGTATACAAATTTATGGCATTTTAATTTTTTTTTTTAAAGATTTTATTCTTTTCCTTTTTCTCCCCAAAGCCCCCCGGTACATAGTTGTATAGTCTTCGTTGAGGGTCCTTCTAGTTGTGGCATGTGGGACGCTGCCTCAGCATGGCTTGATGAGCAGTGCCATGTCCGCACCCAGGATTCGAACCAATGAAACACTGGGCCGCCTGCAGCGGAGGGAGCGAACTTAACCACTCGACCACGGGGCCAGCCCCGGCATTTTAATTTTTTGTATGAAAATAATTTAAAACATAAAGAAAAGTTGCAGCGGAGCGCGCGAACTTAACCACTCGACCACGGGGCCAGCCCAAAAATAATTTAAAACATAAAGAAAAGTTGCAAGAATAGTACAAAGAAAATTATTTTACCCTTTTCTTAGATTCTTTTATTATTAATGCTTTCCCCCATTTGCTGTATCATTTGCCCTATTTATCTGCGCGCACACACACATGCAAGTGTAATTATTTTTCTGAAACAGGTGCGTAAATCACGGTTGAGTGTGTATTTTTAAGAATAAGAATATATTCTTTCACACAGTTATCAACTTTAGTAAACTTAATACTAATTCGATACTTTTATCTAATCTATCAGCCATATTCTAAGTCAATTAACCCAATACTACCCTTTATTTAGAAGTTTTTTCCCTCCAGTTCAGGGTCCAATCTAAAAGGAGGATTTACAGTTAGCTGTCCTGTCTCTTTGGTCTGCCTTAGTCTGGAACGTTTTCTCAGTCTTTCTGAGAACATTGACTTTTTCTGAAGAATTTTTAAAATAGATTATTCCTCATTTTGAATTTGTCTGATGTTTCCTTGTGATTAGGTTGAGATCACATATTCCTAGCTGGAATACTACATAAGTAATATTGTGTCTTTCCCAGGGTATCACATTGATGATGATAATTTTGATCACTTGCTAAGGGTATGTTTGATTTATCTACTGTACCATCATCATCTCACGATTTTTGCAAAACATATATCCTAGCCTTGTCCACAAACAAGGGCTACTCCATTATGTCTCAGGGGCAGTAACCATGGTCACTAAACGCCATTCCCAACTACAAGGTACCAGCGATTCTTGGAGAAATGGCTGCTCTCCAGTCTAGAGTAGGGTATTCACAAGGTGAGCTATGGTATCTTATTGTGCCAGAAAACAAGGAGGTTCTCAAAATCTAAGTGAGTCATGTCAAAAGACGCTGTAGCCAGCTTGAAGGGGATCTGATTGGCCAAAGATTGGACAATTTGAGCATCAAAAAGAAAAAATAACCATAATTGATTGCTATGCATTGATTATATAAAAATCCATAAATCCATAATAACACTCTCTACACCATTCAAAGGACAAGGTATGCAGAGCTCTTTCACTCCAATGTGCTTTTATGCCCCTTGTCTGAACAGTTTAGCATGTTTTGCTTCATCTGACAGAACTCAACTTTCGAGATCCAGCTCAGACGCCACTTCCTCTGAGAGAAGCCTTCCCTAAAACCTCTATGTAGTTCACTGTTTCTCCACATCTCAACATAGTTCACGGCACATGCCTCTTTAAATGCACATATCATACTGTACTGGAATTTCTTGTTTAGCTGGGTTTTTCTTTCTAGACTGTAAGTTTATATATAAGGACCCACCTGGGTTTTATTTATTGTTTTATTCCCAGTGCCTAGCACATACTTATAGACAGTTTTATGTATTATATAACATTACATGTTGTGAACCAATGGATCAACTTCGATAGTATTTCCTTCTCTTCTTCATCATACAATGCAAATTTGTTTATATTTTAGAAAATGATCGAAAACAGTTAAATAGCTGGCTATTTTAGCCAACATGCCAAATTTTTATCAAAATATATTTTTTAAAAGATTTTTTCCATCTATCAGCCTGAGTAGACCAGAACTATGCCCCACAATCTTTTCTTGATTCTTATTCTTAGACAATAGCTTCCTACAGTATTTTTATTTATCCCAATCTGTTTTCTCCCCCGAAAGATCTTCTACATACATATATCTACTGATAATGTAGGGTAGGAAGTGTTGAAGTTAAATTATTGATTTTTTTTTCAGTAACCGGTAGCTCGACTTAGTTATAATCTTTTTTAAAATAGTAGTTTGAAATGAGTATTTTTAAAAGTCAATTTGGTCCAACATCTGTAACACACCAGGGGGAACTAGCACGTAGCATGTACCCCAGTAGGTTTCCCGGTATTAAACTTCCCTCATGAAGCCTCTTACTGTGTGTGGAATCTTGCGTGCACATATGCATACATCCAGCCTTAGGTCTTTGTGGACTTTTAAACATTAACAATTTAGGTGGTAGAGATGATGTAAACCTTCCGTCAAAGGCATGTGCAAACGCACTAAGATGCTTCGGGAAGTCCCTCTCTCAGACGCAGTGAAAGGATTCTCATTTAGGCCAGAGGTGGCCGCGGATAGATGCGGTCAGCGCAGCCGCTTAATGCCGGTCTGTGCTTGGGAGGAATCTCCCCTCTTCCTCGTGGAGCAGGACTGAGATGCTGAGACGCCAGCGGAAAAAGGTGAGGGCGGCGGGACCGCAGCTCTGGAGAGCTTGGCTGCTCGGGAGATGGGACCGGTCGCTGGCCGCGGTGCTGAACACGCGCCCGGGCTACCCCAGGTTGGCGGGCGGGAAGAGGCCCCGGGGGGTTGGTGAGTTCGAAGGAAGGCAGTCGTCAGTCTCACATCTTCGGCTGTTGGTTTCTGGCTCCGGGCTGGGGACACACAGGCCGCGTCCAGGAGAGTCACCTCGCGAGCGTAGGGGTAGCCTCTGACCCAATCCCAAGAGGCGCAGCTCCTGCCCCTCAACAGCAACCCATACAATAACAGCAAAGTAGCCCATAATTATTTGAGCTTCAACTCTGTCTCCAACACTTGACATCCACTCCCACTGGTCCTCACAACATCCTCAAAATTTAAAATAAAAAGGTTCACGACCTTGCCCAAGTGAACACAGCTACCCAATGGCTAAGCTCTCTCAATCATGCCTCAGAAAATGTTTACTGCGCACCCTCGACGTGCCAGCCTTACAGACTGCTCCTCCTCCTTTACCGGCTTCGCTCTCCTCCCACCACGGCCCTTTTCTTTTGCCCCTCCTCTTCCCCCAAGGTTTGCATCAGGCAGAAGTAATCTCCTACACAGCGTACCCCCTGCTACTGCCCAGTCGGGAGACTGTACAAAGGGCTGGGATTCAGAACAGAGTTTATTCAAACGTTTGTCCTTTCGTGCTGGGAAGTCCAAACCGGGTGGGAGATCCAAGTCTAGTCCCTGAGCCCCCAACTCGCTGTGTGACCTTGGACAAGTGGCCACACGTCTCTGAGCCTGTTTCTCCTCGATAATGTGATGATAGGTTCTAGGACTGCGTGAGGCTCTTTCCAGGTGCGTACCGGTCTCCTCTCGGGTCGGAAGACAATCACTAGGTCTCTCTTTTTTCACTCCCTACCCTGCTTTTCCAAGCCCAGTTGGGCACACTCGATTCTTCTCCTCACCGGGTCCCTTGTTGAGGAAGAACTCAGGTCCCCCCGCACCTGAAGGAGTTCTCCCCGCCACCTCCGCCGTCCCCGCCCCTAGCCCCAGGGGTGACTTGCCCTCTGGGCCACACTAGCCAGGCAGCGTCCAAGGTTAGGAAGAGAGCTCCTCGCGTTCTCACTTCGCCGGTTCTCCGCGGTCCCCACACACCGGGCCGCTTTGGGAAGTTCGAGCTGTAGCTCCAGCAAGAACGCGAAGGTGAGGCAGAGCTGGCGGGGCTGCCCCGGTGACAGGTACGTGTGTGGAGGCCGGCCAGAGGCTGAGTTGGAAGAGAGGGACTTTGGGCGAGAGGACGGGGGAAAGGGAGGGTGCCAGCAAGAGCGAGGGTCACTCTGTCTCCTCGCCACCAGTGTGTGTGTGTTTATGTGGGGGGGGGGGGGGAGGGGTGCCTCCCTCTCTCCTCCTCCTCCCCGTCCCAGGCTATCAATCTCACCTTCTCCCTCAGCTTCTGCCTCTCACTTCCCTCTTTCCTCTGCAAGCGTCCTCCCTGCGAGCCCGCGTCCGCTCCGCCCTCGCGCTCTCTCGCGCCTAAGAGGACCTTCTCGGGGACCAGCTCGGTGCGGCCCTTCAGCGCAGTCGCATCCGAGAGCCAGATAAGCTGAACCGGCAGCATGTGGAACGCGACGCCGAGCGAGGAGCCGGGACCCAACCTCACGCTGCCGGACCTCGGCTGGGACGCTTCCCCCGACAACGACTCGCTGGCGGAGGAGCTGCTGCCGCTCTTCCCCGCGCCTCTCCTGGCGGGTGTCACTGCCACCTGCGTGGCGCTCTTCGTGGTGGGCGTCGCGGGTAACCTGCTCACCATGCTGGTGGTGTCGCGCTTCCGCGAGATGCGTACCACCACCAACCTCTACCTGTCCAGCATGGCCTTCTCCGACCTACTCATCTTCCTCTGCATGCCCCTCGACCTCGTCCGCCTCTGGCAGTACCGGCCCTGGAACTTCGGCGACCTGCTCTGCAAACTCTTCCAGTTCGTCAGCGAGAGCTGCACCTACGCCACGGTGCTCACCATCACCGCGCTGAGCGTCGAGCGCTACTTCGCCATCTGTTTCCCGCTGCGGGCCAAAGTGGTGGTCACCAAGGGCCGGGTGAAGCTGGTCATCCTGGTCATCTGGGCCGTGGCCTTCTGCAGCGCCGGGCCCATCTTCGTGCTGGTGGGGGTGGAGCATGAGAACGGCACCGACCCTCAGGACACCAACGAGTGCCGCGCCACCGAGTTCGCCGTGCGCTCGGGACTGCTCACGGTCATGGTGTGGGTGTCCAGCGTCTTCTTCTTCCTGCCTGTCTTCTGCCTCACTGTGCTCTACAGTCTCATCAGCAGGAAGCTGTGGCGGAGGAGGCGCGGCGAGGCGGCGGTGGGCGCCTCGCTCCGGGACCAGAACCACAAGCAAACCGTGAAAATGCTGGGTGGGTCTCAGCGCGCGCTCGAGCTCTCTCTTCCGGGTTCTCTCCTCTCCCCGTGCCTGTCTCCTTCTCCCTGAGTCTCTACCTCTCTCCTGTTTCTCTAGGTCTCTGTCTCCCGGTATGTCTCTCAATTATTCCCTCCCTCCCTCCCGTTTCTGTCTTGAGCGCTCTCTTTGGTCTCTTAATTTCTCTGTTGTGTGTGCGTCTCTATTTCTTTTCTTTCTTTCTTTCTTTTTTGAAACACTTTTGCTCTGTCTTTATATCTCTCTGTTTCTCTCTCTCCTCTCCTCGGCCTCTCGTTCTCTCACTCTCTCTCTTCTCTCTCTGTCTCTCTCTGTCTCTCTCTCTCTCTCTCTCTCTCCCCCCTCCTCCTCCCCCTCCTCCTCCTTCTCCTCCTCCTCCGTCCTTCTCCCCTCTCCGCACTCTGTCACAGTCTTGACTCTCTTTAGGTCTTTCTCCATCTCTTTGTGTCTCTTTCTTCTGGTCTCCTTTCTCTCTTTCATGGAATGCTGTCCTGCTTTTGCATTTCCCTAAAATGAGCTTTATATCAGCTCAGAAACTTTGCTTCAAAATTGAGATGTTTCATAAAAGTCTATTGTGGTCTTTAAGTGTTAAAGGGGAGGTTAAGCTTCATGCCTCAATTCGTGGATATCCAAGTTGCATTAAGAAAATAGGCACTGGAAAAAAAAATCAGGCATTGGATCTAGAAAGTATTCAGCGGTAAATTTAACCAGACATGATCAATGTGGATAATTCTGTCAGAGATGATTCATTTTTTTATTTAATATTGTGATTTACTTTCTGACCTGCGTTTTTTCAAATAATCACATTAATTCTGTTTACCCTGCTGCTGTTTGTACGACTTTGTAAAGAAGTCAGTGACAAATCAGTGCTGGAGTTTCCACTTGTTTTCATGAGTACCTGTCCGTCCACGTAGCATCGGCAAGGATAAGCTAGGATAGGCAGGCTTCCTACGGGAGAAAAGGAGACTCTGTGGAAGCCGATGCATTTGTTATCCCTCCTCAAAGGGCCCTTCCGAGAACATCTGGGTGCAGTCTCACAACTGGAGAGCGCTGAATCTTTATTCAACATATTTAAATATATGTGTTTGGTACAAGTGAAGTAATACAAAATGTGCTCACATCCAAGCAAAATATTAATTCTGCTTGCTTTTTCAAAACCAGAATCTGTTTTATTATCTGCACACTAAAAGAAAGTGAACGCTTCGTACTTATTTGCATATTTAGTGCTTCATAGAAGTCATTCCAGGATGATTTCGTATTTGTAATTTTACAATTCCTGGAATCCTGTGTATTAAAGTGATAGTTTATTCAAAGAACGTCAGAAATTTTCATTTTCTAGACCAGTGATTCTCACAATATGACTAACAGATTGTAAACCTTCTGGTGGCCCCCAGGGACTCTAATATTCACAGTTGCTACTGTGCAACTTAGTTTTGAGAAAAAGTTTATTAATTTCCTCTAATTTTATTTTTCAGATGTTAATTGTCCTTATTGGTGTCTCAATACCAGTGTTAATTTTCTTTTGCTTGACAATTTGAAGAGAATCACTAAAGTGGTACAGGAATTAAAGTATTATTTTCTGTTACATTTCCTCTGATTCCTGAATTTTAAAAATTTAATCTAGAAATTCAGAGGTCTTGAAAAAAATTGCCTTACATGGGCAAAATGAAGACTGGGGTGGATGATAATTAATGTTAGTTGGTTTTATGGCCTTTGATACCTTACTTATGTCATTGTAGGTGGCAAAGAATCATCCATCTCAGTGGTTCTCAGTCTTGACTGCATGTTCAGTCCTCTGTGAAACTTTAGAAAGAAGAAAAGAAAAGAAAAAAGCAAGTGTCCTGGTCTCCTTCCTAGCGATTTTAATTTAGTGAATCTATGTTAGAACCAAGGAATCTGTGCCTGAGGAAACTCTAATACATAGCTATGGTTGAGTATAACCACTTGATCTCACCTGTATTTGGTTGTGTCTAACATGTACAAAATGGGGGACTATTGTGAATAAATTGTCTAGTTGAGTCAATATGTCAACTCAATCACAAAATCACCCAAATAGTTGTTAAATAGAAATGAATGGGAAGTTTAGTAAAAATGATTGAACTGTTGGTCTAGATGGATTCAATCTTGGTTAAAATGTAGGAATGCGGAAGAGAGGGACATCATGTTTTTCTGAAGTCAATGGTCATACCATACGTACTCAAAACAAAATAATGTCTTCAAAATAGAATGTGATTTGCTATGACATTTCTTGAACTGACACTCTCTCTCATTGTCCTTTTAGCTGTAGTGGTGTTTGCGTTCATCCTCTGCTGGCTGCCCTTCCACGTAGGGAGATATTTATTTTCCAAATCCTTTGAGCCTGGCTCCCTGGAGATTGCTCAGATCAGCCAATACTGCAACCTCGTGTCCTTTGTTCTCTTCTACCTCAGTGCTGCCATCAACCCGATTCTGTACAACATCATGTCCAAGAAGTACCGGGTGGCAGTGTTCAAACTTCTGGGATTTGCACCCTTCTCCCAGAGGAAGCTCTCCACTCTGAAGGATGAAAGTTCTCGGGCCTGGACAGAATCTAGTATTAATACGTGACCAAGCACATTGCTGAGCAAAGTCATCGCTTATTATCCTAAACCAGAAGCCATAGCACAGCAGAACTTGGGATGAAGTTGAAGGTTAATTTTGGAATTAGGGTCACATATGTCTGGAAACAATTGGAGGGAAAGAAACAGTAGAATTTGTAGTGTGTGAGCAGTTTGATTTGATTGCAAACTCATCCGTGCTCTCATACACTATTTCTGCATATTCATTGCCTATGATTTTGCATTCTGCTGGTGATGCTGGCAAGGACTTTGTGATTCGGAGAAAGGGGGAGGGGCAGAGAGGGCAGTTAGGGCACTTCTCGCTGGATAAAGACTAAATCTGATCTACTTTTTCATAATGATAAGAAAATTTTAATTAAAAGAATGACATTAAAATAAAAAATTTAAAACATGACTTTTTAAAACTAGCAATTTTCATGTAGCTCCAGATCAGTGCTGTCCAAGAGAAATACAACGCAAGGTACTTAAGTAATCAATATAAAAATTATTTGTGAGAATTTTACATTCTTTTTTTCATACAAAGTCTTTAAAATTTGATTTGTTTTTTACATTTACAGCATAACTTAATTTGGATATTAAGTTTTTATCAGTAATAGTTGATGTATTTAAATTTCATAAAATTTGCAGAATAAAAAGTAGATTCATAAACCTAGGCCGTCCAAACACACTTAAAAGTTTTCCAATAACTAAAACTACTATAAGTTTTTAAATATAAGATGAATTGAAATTAAAACTTCAGTCCTTCAAGTTGCACAGGTCACATTTCAAGGGTTCATAGCCACGTGTGGCTAGTGGCTACTGTTTTGGACAGTACCGCTCTAGAGAATATGTAAAATTATTGTCAATCTTATAAAAAATGTTTAAAAATAGTCACTCCCTGAAATGTTTTTATAGCAAAATTAGCATAGCAGAATATTAGAGTGATAAATTCTAAAACTCACACCTAAATGGCCTATTCGTGCTTGGAAGAAAGTGGATATGAGATATAGGATGAATTTTTAAATTAGATTGAATTACATGTGTTAATATTCGGGAAATGAAACTTTATAAAAATTATAGACAATCGCAAACTACCTTATTTGGCTTAACAAAAATATTTAAGCCAATCATAAGGCTTTGATTTGTGAATAAAGGAATAATTTATAACTTACTCTGAAAGGTTTATAGGAACTTAGTGAACATAGAAATGGTAAAAAATTCAGAATCCTTTAAATGCTACTGCTTATTGATATTCAAAAGTTTTTTTAATCTTATAACCGTTAATTTCAAAATGCCTATGCCATGTCCTATCTCCAGATTAGTTTTGCTATTTATATCCCATTGCTTATCTGGTAGGTACGTTTACTTGAATTTTCAGTCTCCCTCTCATAATTATGAATGATTAGACCCCTTCAACTAAATATTCTACAGTTTTTTTATAAATCTAAAACTTTCATTTATATTGACATTGCTCCTTATATAGTCAACTCTTTTCATATTAAATATGTTATTCCAAAAATGATTTCTTCATAGTCGCATTCAACACTAAGTCATATAAGCAATTCCTACGTGAAGTTATTGGTTAAACTATAGAACTGGTGGAGCCAGTTAGGGAAATTACTGCCATGATTGACTTTTTTCCCCCATCAAAAGTAAATATTGTTATGTGGAAATAATTGATTGACTATTTATTTTAGAAAAATAAAAACATAATCATAATCATAGTGATTTCTTTAAAGAAATATTTCTAAAATCCTTCCTTATACCAAAACTGCGTATCAGCTTATCTAAATACAGACCTTTAGCAAGTAACTTATTCAGCTAATTCTTGGGAGTACATCAATATTTTTTAAAAATATACTGATTCATTGAAGCTCATCAGATACTAATGAGGTCATTCAGCATTATTGTTCTCAATAGGGCCCAGTAAATCCCAAAGAGATAATTCAGTTTCCTGAAGCCTTAGAGTTTTGTCTACAAATACACCCTACCTGAGAGAAAACAAGCAAAACAGGCTTGACTTCCATCACAGATGATTGCCACACATTGATTGTTGTGGAGAAAAAACTAACTTTTAGTTAGATGCTTACCCATTCAATGGTCCCTCCTTTCTTGTGGGTTCATGTCTGTAGTCTCGGCCTAGCTCACTAACAGGGACTTCTTTCCATAGCAAGGACCACCATTGACCACTGCTGTTGATTTGGGAACTGAGAGGATGTTTAGAGAAAAGGATCTTCAATTTGCCCTCTAATGCCATGCCCTTTTATTGTCTGTATCTTCTTCATATAATCACACTCTGTAAATTGTTTAAGACTCAGGGAAAAGAACTTACACTGAGGAAAACTGTTTCTAAAAGTCCATCATTTCATTAGCATTTAATATGTGCCTGATGTGTCTAAGCTCTATAGATGAATAAGTCACGGATTATATCCTTAATGAGCTCATGATCACTGGTGTGTTATGTTGCAGTAGGTAACTAACAAATATCTTTAAGTTATAAAGTAAACATCTCCAGTTGATACTGGATCAAACTGTTCTCCAGCATTTCAAGGGGGCTTGTTCATTTCCCTATATTGTTGTGTGTTTGGCTCAAAATACATTCAAATTGACCGGTCCCTACACAAACCAGGCAAATTTATAGATGCAGTTAATGTGTCTGCTAGTGGTCATTACGCTCACAGCATTCTTCATTACTGTAAGGAAAGTAAAGGAATTGATTTTACTTTTAATCTGTTTCCATTTTCCTGGTTATCCAGCAATGAGGTTTCTGTCACCACACCTTACACTGTGTCACAAAGTCAAGGGTTGGGTCATTTTCATTATAAGAAGTGAGAAGAACTCTTGAATAATTGCTTTAAAGAAAACACTCATTGTCATGAATTATTTAAAATTGTAAGTTTTGTGGCAATGAGATTTAGAAACGCTTCCAGTGTCAGGCCCAACCTTGGAAACCATTTCTTTATAGTCAAATTTTTTTTGCAATGAAGGTGATTGTGATGGGGTTTGACTTGAAATTCCAGCTTTTTCACTCTCATGCTTTTATTAAGAACCTGAAATGATTCCAAACAATTTACAATTATTAGTTCAACATTGATAACTTTAGCTATAATTTTGTTGCTGTTTTTTATTTATCCACATACCTGAATTTAACATTTTAAAAAAAACCAAACTCTGAGACTTTTTGTAAGACTGGTGCCTGAAAATGCTCTCTTGTCTTTTAAAACATCATGTGTACATCTTTAAAACGTGACATACATATTTACATTGGTCAAAACTTCTTGTCACAGTGTCTAAGTGAATAGAATTGAGTTTTCTGCTTTCAGAAACACTGTATCTAGTGTAAATAATGTCATTAAGAGATAAAGATGACGTCACTCGTAGTTCATTGTCTAACGATCCTCCAGTGATTTCTTTGCAATTTAAATTGCAGCACTAGCCAGGATACATACAGATGTTACTTACTAGGCGATTAGTGACCAATGCTAATTCAGTCAACTGGTAGCACAAATGTGTTTTACCCAGAGAATGAACTGCAAGTCAAAGTGTGCTGGTGGCAAAGGCTAGCTGTTTTAAGTTCACGTCACTTATTAATTCACATTAAATGAATTCAGTCATGTTGACTCCTGGCAATGATCTCAGTTTGAAGCAGGGGAGAGGGAAGGTCTGGCTGAGGCTTGTTTTGTGTTTTTCCTTGTGAATGCAAACTCTTGCAGAGTGTGGGAAGTTGGCCATTTTGGTTGAGAGAATTATCATCATCCTTAAAAAAACAAAGCTGCCATGCGCGTGCTCCTCCTAATTGCCTGGATATTTGTTAGTATTCCAATTCATATTTTATGCTGAGGCACAGTGTACCCTTTGCTCAAGGGACTACGGACTACCCTCAAAACTGGTAAACCAAGAAAGCCCTCAAAAAGCACCCCTCATGTAAATGTTCAAAAACATCCGCCAAAATGTTTGCAAATGTTCTTTCCAGAAGAGCTCCTCTCTCTACTCTCACCGCCACACACCCACCCAGCCCCCCTCCCCAGCATACAGCAAGTAGTTGGGAAAAATAGTCTGGAAAATCATCTGTGATTTTAACATCTCAAATCCAAGCATTTATCCAGCTCAAACAACAAAAATATTTATATTTTTCACCTTTAGCACTATGGGTTTAGTACTCTAGAGAGCACTTGTTCACACAAATACATCCAAACAGTGTCGTCTCCTGTTTTATCGACAGCTGCAGTATTCTAGGTCTGTGTAGAATTGGTCACTTGCTTGATTTGTGTTTGTACAGTGTCATCTATGTCACTAATGATATTTTGATTTGTGATTCTTTTTATTTAGGGTCTTTTGAATGTTAAAGAGTTTACTGTAGCTCTCATGTCTCTGTCTTTATGAGATTAGGCATCAGTTTTCCTTCCTTTGGGTGTCCTTAACCAAACGAATGCTTAATAAATATCTTCTTAAAGCTTATAGTTAATTTCTTCTACTTACAGTTATAACTCTTGGTGTTTGGGATATTTTACCTCTGTTCCTGTCCTAGATTCAGTTTTATTTTGTCCTTTTAATTTCTGAAACATGTATTTTGCAACTATGAGGAGGTGTTTGTTGTAGTGAATTTTATTTCCCCAAGGGGCCCAATGTTTAATAATGAGTTAAACAATTCCTATAAATATTAAGAAGAGTTGGGGACCCTGTGATGGACTGTGATCACCATACTGTCTTCACTTCTATGTCCCTTACAGCCTGTCTTCCCAGAGCCAATGGTGTTGCAACCTCCATGGTGTGACACTAATGTGTGACCCAAAGACCACAAGCTCTTTGAGTCAAGAGAAGGATTCCTGTTCATCTTGCACTCAGCAGCCACACCCTGAACGTTGCTTGGACAAATGAAGGTTTAAAGACTGGATTATATGTCACCTGGGTTTTAGCTTCCAGACTTATGGATTCCTGAGGCCAATAAAATTTAAAGCTAAAATTGTAGGACCAATGAAATTGGCCAACTTTTATTAGCCAATTAAGGGACTTTAAAATACCCTACTACCCATTATCACCATCATTTCAACTTAAAAAGAACATTGAACTAAAAAAAAAAGTAGAAAGGATATAATCTTGGAATAAAAGATCATCACACTGTGAAAATTCAACATATTCTACGTTCTACAAAATCATACATGTATGCTGTTAACGTGGGCTAATGACAACTTGGAAGCAGTATCTAAAATGTGCAATTTGGCAATAATTAGTCATATACTAAAGTAATCCAAAGGAGCAAATCAATGGATTTGGGTTTTTTTTGCTGTGGGTGGTTTTGTGTGTATGTGAGCGTGTGTATGTGTGTGAGGAAGATTGGCCCTGAGCTAAAATCTGTGCCAGTCTTCCTCTGTTTTGTATGTGGGACGCTGCCACAGCATGGCCTGATGAGCTGTGTGCAGGTCCACTCCCTCGATCTGAACCTGTGAACTCCAGGCCGCCAAAGCAGAGTGTGTGTGTTTAATCACTACACCACAGGCTAGCTCCCTGGATTTATCTTTATTTGTCTGCTAAGGTCCTTTTCAATATTTTGTGATCCCTTCCATCCACCTCTCCTTCAATTTGGTGCCAGCCAACGCCTGTCACATTCTTTCGGGCCCATCCCCATGGTGACCTTTGGGCCTGACTCTAAGATCGAAAGAGGAGGGGCCAGCAGGCCTGCTTCGGACTTGCCAGGTCTCACATTCTGAGGTCAGTGGACAAATGCCGGTGGCTGCTTGCTTCCTGCCTCGAAACTCATCATCAGTTCCTGATTTCATAGCCAGCTTCCTTCAAGGAGCCGTCAAATTATTATAAATCAGTACCCATCTCCTGAAGAAAGTTTGACAGTGTGTATCAAATGTGTACAAACTTTGCAGACCCTTTGCTTCAGGAGTTTCACATCAAGACATAAGTATGGAGGAGCACAAAGACTTATCTCTGATGGTGTTCACCGCATCTCACTTATCATTGTGAAAACCTGAAAAATCCAAGTGTCGGAGAATAGAGAATTGGTTAACTGAGTTCCAGAAATGATCATAGTTAGCATTTATGAAGCTCTGTGGTAAGGGCTTTCAATTCCTTTTCTCATGTAACCTTCCCAACACACCTCGGAGGAGGTTCTGTTATTATTCCTAGCGGGGGTGGAGCGGGAACTGAGCAGGGAGTTTTCTCACGCGGTTAGGAATAGCTGGTGGTCTCATGGTTAAGATTTGGAGATCTCACCACCGTGGCCCGGGGTTCGTTTCCCAGTCAGGGGACCACACCACCTGTCTGTTGGTTGTCACACTCTGGCGGCTGCATGTTGCTGTGATGCTGAAAGCTATGCCATCAGCAAGATCGCCCTTGGCGGACAGGTTTCAATGGAGCTTCCAGACTCAGACAGACTAGGAAGAAGGACCTGGCCACGCACTTCCGAAAGAATTGTCCAAATACCCATGTGAAGAGCAGCGGAGTGTGGGCTGATACAGTACAGGAAGGTGAGAGGATGGTGCAAAGAGGACCGGGCAGGGTTCTGCTCTGCTGTACACGTGGCCGCTAGGAGTCAGGATGGACTCAACAGCACTAACACCAACAGGAAATGGTAGAGATAAAAACTGACCCCAAACCAGTTAGGTTCTACTGTTCTCACTTTCCCTATTCTAGAGCACTAGGTAGGTATTAAAATAATATTGTAGGAGAGTTTTAATAATGTGCGAAAATATTCATCTGACATGAGTAAGTGAAAAAATCATACTGTCACATCTTATAAAGAAAAAAATGTTCATGGAGCAAAAGACAAAAGATTTAGCATATAGCCACGATGTGGAACCAACCTAAGTGCCCAGCAACTGATGATTGGATAAAGAAGATATGGTATATATATACAATGGAATACTACTCAGCCATAAAAAAGGACAAAATCGTCCCATTCACAACAACATAGATGGACCTTGAGGTATTATGTTAAGTGAAATAAGCCAGACAGAGAAAGATGAACTCTGTATGACTCCACTCATAGGTGGAAGTTAACATATAGACGAGGAGAACTGCTTGGTGGGTACCAGGGGAAAGGGGGGTGGGGGGTGGGGGGAGGGCACAAAGGGTGAAGTCGTGCACCTACAACATGACTAACAATAATGTACAACTGAAATTTCACAAGGTTGTAAACTATCATACTCTTAATAAAAAAAGATTTAGCATATAAAAGTATTAACAATATTTCTCTGGTCTATGGAAATATTTTCCTCTATTTTTCTGTGGTTTCCAGCATTTCTACAACAAGTGTGTATTATCCATGTGATAGTGGCAAATGGCAAACGGTTACTTCATTCGGAGACTGGCTTCCCTCTCGGCCCTGCTCTGGGTCTTGGTCTCTGCTCTCTGCCTTTAGCACCTCGGGTTTACCTGGCTTCTCTGAGGAGCACTGTCACCAGGGCGAGGTCTTCTCTACTTCACCCTAACTGACCACCACGCCTGGTCAGCTCCTCACCAGGACACCTGCTCTTCCATGGGAGTAAGTTTCAGAGACACGGTGGGAGAGAGACGCCAGCCAGCATCGGGCTTGCATTCCAGTTCTGCTGCTGGAAATGGGTGGCTTCAGGCAAGCTCCTTACCCTCCCATCATGGAAAGTACCATAACCTAGTAGATGCTCATTAAATGGCCTCTATTATCATTTGGTCTCTTGGCAAAGCACGAAACAGCCCCATGGTGTGTCCCCCCTTCTAGATGCTCTGCAGCCTAGAATCCTCCTGACGTCTCTGTCTGTCCCTGTCCCCAGCCAGGCAGAGGTCTCCTAGCAAATCCATTGATCACATGCAGATATTTGGAGACATCTGGAGCTGTAAAAGCAGCTGCAAATGTGACATCGCTTATTAATCGCTCTGGCCAAGTGTTGACAAGGCCTTGTCAGGTTTTACAAAATGCAGCAGACGTCCTTTGGGGTGAAGCCTTGGACCCCCTCTATTTGTGGAGTGAAACAATCATTTCTGGCTCAGTCAGCAGGAGGTGGAAGAGAGGGGACAAGAGCTTGGTGAAATGTCTGGTTTCCTGAAAGTATATGGCTATTCACGGCCACGTATTCACTATCCAGGCCTGTGGAACTGCTTTGGAACCTTTACTGAACAACTCCTTTCTTTCAGAATTGATCCTCCAGGAGCAAAGCACGTGAAGTGGAGTCTGCAAAGGCTTTGGATCCAAACAGGTACAGAATTTACTCCTGACTTCACCATCAACCAGCAGTGTGACACGGGGCGATCACTTAGTGTTAACCTCTCTAGGTCTCCGTTGGTTTAATAGCACAGTGGGAATCACAAAAGACCTGCTTTTTGTGGTTGTTGACAAGATCCAGCGACATACTGTATGTAAAGGGGCAGAATCTGGCACAGAGAAGAGCCCAATACAGGTGAACTCTTTTTATGACCACAATTTATTAGCTTGTTCACAATCTACAATTTCCACTTTGAGTTCCTTTAAAGCAGAGCAAGAATCTAAAACATGTGTGAAGAAACCTGAATGCAGAATCCTCCAACAGTTTTAGTGTGTCCCCTGACCCTGATTTTGACAGTAGTTTCACCCACATCTAATGTAAGGAGCTTGTTAGTGACTTGTCTTTATTGAGTCTTTCCAAAGAATTCAGGGTAGTTTTCAAAGAAATAGTGATTCTCTTTTTGCAATCACGTTTCATCAACTTATGTAATTTTTAAAAAATTTTTTATTGAGTTAATGATAAGTTACAATCTTGTGAAATTTCAGTTGTACATTATTGTTTGTCAGTCGTGTTGTAGGTGCACCCCTTCACCCTTTGTGCCCACCCCCCACCCCACATTTCCCCTGGTAGCCACTAATCTGTTCTTTTTGTCTACCTTTTAAAATTCCTCATATGGGTGGAGTCATACAGAGATTGTCCTTCTCTAACTGGCTTATTTCACTTAACATAATTCCCTCAAGGTCCATCCACCTTGTTGCAAATGGGATAATTTTGTTCTTTTTTATGGCTGAGTAGTATTCCTCTGTATATAGATACCACATCTTCTTTATCCAGTCATCAGTTGATGGGCCCTTAGGTTGCTTCCACGTCTTGGCTATTGTAAATAATGCTGCAATGAACATTGGGGTGCATAGGTCTTTTGGAACTGCTGACCTCAAGCTCTTTGGATAGATACCCAGTAGTGGGATGGCTGGGTTGTATGGTAGTTCTATTTTTAATTTTTTCAGGAATCTCCATACTGCTTTCCATAGTGGCTGCACCAGTTTGCATTCCCACCAGCAGTGTTTGAGGGTTCCTTTTTCTCCACAACCTCTCCAACGTTTGTTACTATTAGTTTTAGATATTTTTGTCATTCTAATGGGTGTAAGGTGATATCCTGGTGTAGTTTTGATTTGCATTTCCCTGATGATCAGCGATGATGCACATCTTTTCATGTGCCTGTTGGCCATCCGTATATCTTCTTTGGAGAAATCTGTGTTCATGTCTCCTGCCCATTCATCAACTTATGTAATTTTTAATTAGTTGCAGTAACAAGTCCAATTTGGCATAGACAGATTTGGGAAAAGACAAATAACTCCGTTGGTGGAGCAGAAGTGCAGAGATGTGCTAGATCATGGTCCCCTAGCACATGGCACATTCAGGATCTTTGACAGAGGGAGTAGAGAGCATTGGATCCCAGCAATCTAATTAAGAACACTTCTAATTCCTACATAAAAGTCGTTAGAATATAGAGACTTGGTGGTTCCCTTCAAACAATAAATCCACGTAGGTAACACTTTAGAGACTGTCTAGAGTCCCAGGAGGCCTAGGGAGTTTCATCCTGTGGGTCAGTTCCCTTCCGTTGGTAGTGACTCCCAGAAACACTGGGCTGAGAAGGGTCATTAGGCTGACAATATGTCCCCTGTGCCTTTTACTCCTGCTGTTCAGACATCACATCTGGTTTAGGATTTGTCCTGGATTTTTCATTTATTAAGGGCGTGTCATTAACAGTTGCATTAAAGAAAGCTGGGGTGGAGTTGTCAGACCGTCACTTGGTATTTCCAGCTCCTGCCATGGTCTTATCTAGCAGCATGTGCAACGCATGTTCAATGAACAGAGTTCTCTCCTTAACACACGGGAAACCAGGAGGACAGCCAGCTATAACCTGTCTTTATTTGCAGTAAAGCCTGCAAAACACTTGCTGAAAAAGACAAAGAGAGCTCTCACAGATGCTGTTAGGGAAAGTCAACCCCTTCCCATCTCAGAGGGGGTGGTGGGAGACATGTTTGGCCATTGTTTGTTGTTTTTCTCTCCAGTTGTGCTGTGGCTTTCACCACAGTTTTCAAGATGCATGATGTCCCCAGGCAGCC